AAGATGTATCGGGTAGTGGTGAGGCTCACGATGCTCTACGGCAGCGAGTGTTGGCCCGTGAGTAAATCCCATGAAGGACAGCTCCACTCCGCTGAAATGAGTATGCTCAGATGGGCCTGCGACTGGACGCGGCTGGATCGGTCCAGAAATGAAGACGTCAGGACGGCTATGCAAACAGCCCCAGTTCAGCTTAGGATGAGAGAGCAGCGCCTGCGATGATTCGGGCATGTACTAAGAAGACCACAGAGCCATCCGATAAGGGAAGCAATGGAGTTCGGCGCTCAAGGTAAGCGACCACGAGGAGTCCCAAAGAAGAGATGGCGGGACGTGTTCAGGATCTCGCCCAAGCCAAGGTGACGGCACAAGATGCCGTAGTTAGAACGAAATGGAGACGGCTCACAAGAACAGCGGACCCTGGGACGGAGCGGGTTTAACGCTAGGGAGAAGAAGGCAGAGCTTTCAGGAATGCAATTTATTATTTTTACATATTTCCTGATTTTTACATAAGCGTGGAGAAATATCAGGACTGACTATTCTTTACGCGTTTTTGAAAAGCAGGCGTTACTGCATTCCTAGAAGCTTAGCTGCAAACTTGAATTTCGTTCGGAGCAGGCCTCTCATCCACCGACTAGTCCAAAGAACAATATCATATAGATTGCTCTAATCACTATTACTTATTAACCAAACATTCGAATACGATCGAATGAAAGTTCCCTCTGCTTTCTGGTTCAGAAGGAAAAGATTTCAGCTCCGCCTATATAATAAATTTCAGGTTGTTGGGACCGTTTCAACCACAGATTACTATTATCACATCGTATCAACACTGCTTTGGGCAGGACTGATTCCCATCGTTCTATTTGTTAGTTTCTTTCCATCATCTGATTCTGACCTTGCCCTGGACAACTACCATTTCCAAGCTTTTTAATCCCTTTGATGGTGAAGTGTATAGCTCCTCAAGGCGCACACTTGTTCTGAGCAATTTATTGATTATTAAGAACTCGAAATAATGATAAATACATAATTGGACTTGAAAAATTCCATAGATTTTTAGCTCACCGCATATCTCTTTATAACGGATGAACAGTCGAATTTCGAGACAAGTGACAATCTTCTTCTCATAATTTTATTATGCCCAATACCTCTTTGTGCTATATATAGGGTGTGTTTACTATTATAATATCATTACTTGTTACTAGATTATTACATTACCGTTATTATCTATTCACTTGATCCTGTAACGATTGTCAGACCTGTGGCGGATCACTAACAAGGAAGGTCTTTCAGGGCGTGGGACGCTTTTTGAAAATGGTTTTCTGCATGGTATAGGGGCATGAGCACTGAGTATAAAACTATGGTCCATTTCCGCTAAATGGCCTTCTGAATGCCAAAAAACGACTGAAAACGATTTTGTCAGAAATCGCCGTTTTAACCCATTTAGCGTCGTTTGTTTCATTCATGGCGTCGACTGTCCATACAGTAGAAGGTGTCAGTTGACTGCGCATTGAAAATAACGTGAAAGGTAGCCAAAAAAGGAGCCACATGTTGAAAAGTGCGGGGAAGTTTCATATAGGCTCTCCACGGTTAAACTGTCAGCAGCGTGGGATGGTGTGGTGGATAGCGATGTGGACTTCGAGGAAGGACGACTAGGATAGGTTGATGGTTCGAAAACTCCAGGCTTTGACGTTTTTGCATTTTATGCTGCCACCCCCAGATCG